CACACACACACACACACACACAACAAACGCACACTCACAAACACACACACACAACAAACGCACACTCACAAACATACACACATATACACACATATACACACATATACACACATATACACAAACACACACATACACACACATACACACACATAAACATACACACACTCACACACACTCACTCTTTAACTCTCACAAGCTGCTGCACGAGACAGGGGGATTACAACCATAACCAAAGTGAATACTTACAGCTGGCAACACCTGCTCCGACAGAGGAACATAGCCGGCCACGTGATGACCTGAGGCATCTACCCTCACCCTTGACCCCTTGAGTAAGAAATTCCTGGGTAACATGTCGAGATAATCGTCCTTGACCTAGTCCAAAGTCAATTCGTCACTTCAAGAAGAAAATCCGTACCGACATGATTTCAAGATAATAATTAATGGGGGGGTTGACAAGTACACTGGTACGATTTCCCCCTTCTCTCCTTTCAAACGTATACCGTCTCTTTCTCTGTTTCTTTTTTCCTTTGGTATGTTAATCTCCGTCACTTATATGACCTATTTATGTTGCAAAGGCCGTGAAATTCCAACTAAAGCTACTGAATCAAGACAATCAAATTGTTATACATGTAGTCTTATCTGTGGTGAATCCAGTTAGGAAATCCGTGGTATCGCTTTTGAGAGATAATCAGTCCTCTAAAGAATTCCGCGATATCACTTTGAGATATCCACTTGCTATCAGTTCACTATTTCAAGACCCCCCGCTGAGTTATAGCTCGCCGTCAACGATCATGTTGTTGTAGCAGCGGTCAGTTACACTGGTCAACACGTCTTGAGTCGACTTGACATTGATGGAAAGTAAGAAGAGGGGGGGGGGGATTGGATTACAAGTTTTACTACGCCGCTGGGGTCAGCGAGTAGATTCCGAGTCTCAATCGAGCGGTTGATATGGTAGAATATCACATGTCATTGAGTAGATCCGTCCGCTGGCAGGATTGTGAGCCTTCTGATCCGGCCTCTCTTATCACTACGCTGCGTTTTTCCCACACTTTATCGAGAACTCGGAGAATGTTGCACTTTTATCACACAAGAAGTTCAGAACGAATTGTATCGGTATTCAGTGCTATAACAGGAGAAGGACATTTTCTCAAAAGAAAGCCACCAGGGAATCTGAATAATATATAAAGTAACAACAAATTCTGTTGTTGTTGATTAAATATAGGTGTCTAACGCCCCCCCTATCGACACATTGTACATGGTATAGCTGGCCTGCTTCCACCCTGGACACCAGGGCCAACCCGGGCAGAGAGTTCTGAGAGGGATACA